CCCCAAAACCCCAAAACCCCAAAACCCCAAAACCCCAGTATGTTATTAAGTATTTGAAAAATATTATTATCTATCATCAAGAGTCCTAACAATGGTGTCCTTATTCAGTGTGCTCATTCCAATGCTGTAGTTATTCCTTTCTGAGTTCAGAGGGTGTCTAATCACTCCGAGGTTTATCTCCCTTCGAGCAGGTCTAGGATTTTGCCTCCTATTTGTGTTCTTAGTCACAGTAGTTTTAATCCTCTCTGAAGATCTCTGCGAAGAATTATGTGAGTTACGAGGGAATAATACAATATGTCTCCTTGCAGCTACTTTATTGTGAATTTTAGAATTTTTAGAACTTGAATCGTCTTTCTTTTGAATAGGATTGTTTGAAAAATTATAAGACTTAGAGTACAAACTTGAAGATTGCGATTTAGGAGTGGATATATAATTATTCTTCCTCTCTCGACTCCCACTGCAGCTTAAACTCCCAATACATCTCCTTATCAATGACCTTTTCTTACTTCTTGGCTTATGATTGCCATTAACGAAATAATCCAAAAATGAGTTCATTTGGTGCCTGACCAACTTCATTGAGTCTTGCAAAATTCCTTGAACTATACAAAAATAAACCTAAAATGCATCTTATAGCTTACCTTGTTGTATAGTTTCTTGATCTTTAGGACTGCTTCAGCCCTCTTTTTCAATATTTTTACTGTTGCTTAGGTAATTCTTGGCTCTTTTTGGAACCAATTCTTGCTTCTCCTCTTCGCTATCGGTAATGCTGAAGTCATCAGCAATGTTGATTTCTTTCTTGATCGGGCGACCGCTAGAAGCAATGCTCTGGTTGGGCGCCCGGATTTGGTGGATCTTTTTCACACTGATAATGACTTCTCTTGAGTTTGATTTATTTTGAGCCTTTCTTTTGAACTTATTGGACAGAGGATATCTAGCCTCTCTGCATGCTCTGATGATATTCTTAGACTTATTTGAAATATTCTCTTTATCTTGGACATAGTCAAATCCTGAGGTTTGAGGGACCAACTTTTTACTCTTGCGACCACTTTCTTTCAAGTCCATCATGTTTTTATTATGTAATAGAATATTTGAAGCAAAGGAAGATCCTTTGCTTTCTTTTCTCTTTTTGATCGCAGATATCCGATTTTTCCGATTATTCCTCCCTTTTTCGGAACTGACTTTGCTGAATATGTAAGATTGGGACTGGCTCAGACAAAGTTCTAGAGAATCATGCAGGTTGCCTACCTTTGTCTTGGGTGCTAGTGTTCTGGATGTTTTGCTGTGAATTAAACATATTAGCTACATCTAGCTCTTTGAGGATGTTATTGGTGATCTTATTGATAATGGTAGCCTCATTGTCATCTTTGATGGAGTAATTACTATGTTCACTGTCTTTTATAAAGCTTTTTACTCAGTTTTTGACCCCTTGAAGACGCTGCGAGCTGGTGAGACTCCTGTCACTACATATTGCCTTTAGCTTTGTCACATGGGTGTTAGAGCCCTCTGATTTTGCAGATATACTTTTAGACATGGTGGAGAAATGTAATTTGGATTCATCTGATTTTTGTTGGGAGAAGACGCTTAACCCACCTATTTCTGAAGAGAGATTGTCTAACACTCTGCTTCGAAAGTTTCCAAATATTTCATTTGATGTTGAAAATACCTTATAGGCAATTTCGCTAAATTCTGTGATTTTGTCAGTATAAGCTTGAACTTCTTCTGGAATCTATACGAGTTAGAATAAAATTACTTTGGTTAAGTCTTTTGGAGAGTTTATGAATCCGAGTAGGTGAAGCGAGTCAACTTTTCTGCACTTTTCAAACACAAATTGGCAGATTCTTGTATCGAGGGAAAGAGAGGAGATGTCAGACTCTAGTTTGAGTAGCATGTTCTGTATCTCTGGGACTGGTTCATTATACTCTGATAGATCAATTAAATAGATCTCTTTTTGCTCAGGATCACTCTCATCTTGGCTATCATTTTGTGCGATCCTAATTTTCAAAACAACGTTGCTGATATAAGGTGGTGCATATTGGTTAATCCCTTCTTTATACATATTAAGTTTCTTTGTTTTTCATCAGTCTCATTCTTTGTCATAAGAGTCTTCATGCCCTCAGAAAACTCGTTTTCTTTTACTAAAGAGGTCATTTACTACCATTTGGAGTTCTTCAAGCGAGTCTGTATCTATAAATATTTCTTGCATTTCGCTTTCACTTTTGACCGAGCTATGTTTGCTCTATATTTGCTAAATTTTGAGGGATCTTACCTGACTTTTGGAGATATTTATGGAACTCCTTTCGCTATGTTCATCTAAATTTTCGGTTATTTTAGCAAAGTGCTTACATTCTATGAGGTCCACGATGTCCTCTTCAGCATCAGCAATGATCTCATAGCAACTGAGATAAGCAGAGATTGGGGTAGAGTCTTTGCTGGTTTCTTTTAAAGCTTGTTTTAGAGAGATAAGGTGTCTGACAATCTCATATCCGATAATCATGCCTCTATTTTGGTCAAAATCCGCCTGATCTAATTTGAATTGAGACCCTCAGGAAAGTATTAATGTGCTTTTTAGGTCAGGGGAGAGAGCTAAAGCTTCTTGACATACTCTATACAACTATTCCTTTGCAAAATTTACTTTGATATTTTGTCCACAGAGTTTTTCTGAGCAATGTTGATTTTTGTGGTCGCAACTTCAAATCCCATTTTAAAAATTTAAATTCAATGTTATATTTAAGAACAGGGGTTTTGGGGTTTTGGGGTTTTGGGG